ACTTAGTAAACAAAATACTTTTCACTGAATGAATCGGCATTCCACTACTATAAAAATTTATAATAAGTTCCGACTATACTTAGTAATGATTATACCCTTTAACTGCGAACTACCTCTTAATTTTTTTAATGCGCGTTTCGCCCATAATTTTAAAGTCTACGTGCGCAAAACGTACCTACTATTAACCCTTAAAGTGCGGGAAATTTTTTGATGTGCGATACGCCCCTTCTGTATATTAATTTTAGACACTGATTTCTAGGATCTATCATATCCTTAAAATAATCAATTACCTCATAACGGCCTTATAGCCAGTATTACTAAGGTCCGCCATTTCACCCAAATTATCCTAATCCTCCAGATCTGGCGGTTCTGATATCGATATATCTATATCTGCCCGTAGTCCACAACTATTGTGCCGTAATTTAACTATACTTATAACATTATTGATAAAAATTAGCTGAAGCTGATCCGGTTAAGTTATTACGTATTCGAAAAATGCCGATGACCGAATCGATAAGTTTGAGTTTGGCGAAGTCGATCACTTATTGATTCCGACTCGGTAAGGCCACACAGAGTAGATTTTTCGTTTTGCATGCATTACATGGATTTCAAAATCCACGGTCGGTCGGATTTTTTCTTTTTTCTTTAATCTACAGTAAATTAATAGACTCATGTTCACATTTAAGGCCACGCAAAACTTTATTTTTCGCTTTGCATAACATGGAATCAGACCAGTAGTCGAATATTTTTTTTTTATCAGTTCTGTCGAATAATTCTGAAAAATAGGTCTCTAACGGATGATACATGATTAATTTATGAAAAAAAAACTGAATGGCAAAGTAGAATAATTGGCATAACTGGAACTTTAAAAAATACTTTTTTAAAAAAAAAAGGTCGGCGGGTAATGCAAAACGAAAAATCTCGATTCGGTCATCAACAATTTTTTAAGTTGTTCCAGAATTTATGAAAACAGCTTTCGTCCAAAATGCTATCGTCATCATCGTAAAAGGAGGAAAAAAAGGAAGAAGTATTAATTTTTGGTACTTAATTTTCTTGGTAACTACCGTACAGCGTGGACTAAAAGACCCTTTTATAATACCTCTCACGATTTTCGGAGGCCTAGAATGCAAAGTACCTTGGTACTAAGAACGGATTAATTGCACTTGGGAATGTAAAATACCCGAGTACTAAAGATGGATTAATTGCATATAAAATATTACTGCGGCACTCATGCAGTGCAACTTATACCCTACGCTGACCATAGTATCCATCTGACTATAATACTTATATATACAGTTCAAATTGTAAACTACCTTGGGTATTTTGGTCCACTCTGTACGGTAATATAAAATTACGAGACCACGCATATATCTGGTGGCATTTTTGCTGACAAATAATTAGAAGGTCATCATTTCAGAAATTGCAAGACACTTGGGCGTTAATAGGCCTCCTATAAGTCGAGTTCTCAAGCACTTTCAAAGATATGGATGTATTAGAAAACTTCCATCACTTTAAAGAATACCAACATAAACGATATAAAATATGTCGACAAATTAATTATCTAACTTTTAATATTAGACCTATTCGTGTAATATTTTTAATGTATTTTTATTTTATATCAGGAGCCTTTTTTTTATATTTTTTGACAAGATTTATTGGTAACATGAACAAAATTTAAATAATGTTGAATGTGTCGACATTATTATCTGTAGAATAAGTATGATATACATGTATATAATTTTTATTTATTGATTATGCCGAAATCAATAACTTAACCAGATCGGCCAAAAAACGTCCCAGGATTTATAACAGCTGTAATAGTAACGGATATCTACTATTCGTCCGGATAAATGCTAACCGGATTAGAACTCTACAATAGGAACAAATAAAGATCTTAATCAACACTCGAATATCATCGCAAGTTTTACAAATGTAAAAGATTAACCGGCTAACTCTAATATTTATTCGTATATTACAACTGTTTCGTTATTTTTGGGAGATCTAAAAATTTTTTGAGACTCGATAAGTTACTGACGTCGGCATATCAAAAACATATTGACTTGGTCATCAACAATTTTTCATAAGTCCCAAAAACAATGAAAACAGTTGTAATTAATTATTAAGTTTTCTAATGCTTATTTGCTAGAAATTTTTTATTTTAATAATAATAAAGGTTTGTAACAGAAGTATGAAACAACTTGTATAATAATTCTATTTACCCTAGTAAATACAAAAGTTTTGATATATAGTGCAAAAACAGATAGTTCGACTTGTTGGTCGGAATGATAAACTCAAGTCTGAATCTATGCCTTACATTCTCAACGTAAAGACATTAAACCAATTTTAAACCAAAATATTTCAGTTATTTAAACGTCAAAAATAAAACTAGTATGTAAAGGTTTTAAAAAGTACTTTAGATATATACTATATTTTAATGCAATTAAATATTTCCAGATTTGAAGTTTGTGCATTAATTGATTATTATTTCTGCCTTCTAAAGTAGCACATTTCTAGGTTTAAAATTTATTTGTATAGCTAAAGTCAACATTTTGTGAAATTTTATTTACATATACAAAATGTTTTTCATAAAATAATAAATTAAGCATCAAAATTTAATTATACAAAAAGAAATTATTTAAGTTTCTATTAAACTACATAAAATGTTTGATGGAGTTGTTAAAACAATAACGAAAATTGGTTAATAATAATAACCAGAAAATAATTTTTAAAAAATTAGACAGGTAAGGAGGTCACTGGTGCACTGCTCACAGTTTGGTCATTACTAGTAATATCTGCAGTTTGTCCAGCAGTTTGGCGCTTATTTTTACCACTACCAAGTCCCAAATATGCTTCAAGATCAAATGGAACAGTTGCCCAAAATGGAGGAGTAGCACCCAAACTTGTAACTGTTATATTTAAGCTTGTAGTCAAATCAATGGCAGTTTTTCCGTCTTTTTTGAGAAGGACACCAAAACAATCTTGAGGAAAGCCTTGTGCAAAACTACCATAGACATACATTATTCCGGAGCCTTCTGTTGATTCAAAAGTCATACCACCTATTACGTTACCGGTAAATGTAGCGCTTGCAGAAATTGTCTTTGCCGCGGTGTCGCGTTTAAGAAAAGTAATATCATTACTTTGAGGAATTATTCCTGCAGTTGAATCTTTGAAAGAAACAAAGAGGAAGATTAATACAAGAGCCCCGTATACAAGTTTTTTATTCATTTGTTTATTTCTTAGTATGTAGTAGTTATTGTTTTCAACTCAAATTTAATTTCTCAGTACGTATGTAGTAGTGATTGTTTTCAACTCATAGACGAGTCCCATTATATAGAAAAATTTTTATATATTACGTAAATAAAATTGACTAACACAAGACGGCCGAACAACTCTTAAATTGGTATACTGGCTTCTGAACTCATGCTAAGCCGTCTTAATAGTTAACTAATTCCTATTTTAAGAATATAATCTGCATTCACGAGAATTAATGCCGGATGTCCTATACAGTAGAATAGGTGGGCAGACTCCGTAAACTCCGCTAAAAAAATATATTTAAAAAATCAATATTAATGACCATTGGCGAAGCTTATTTCTTGCCCAACTATTCTACAGATCATCCAAAAAGAAGAAAAAAATCGAATTCACAATCGGAAAATGAGTTCATTGAACTTTATCACTATTTTAGTATATAGTTATTAATTCAATATGTTATATGTTATGTAATATAAATAAAGCCTTATTTGAATTATGCACATCAATCAGAGCCGCTCATTTATTGAATACTAATTATAACAGCCATTACACGATTTCAATTATTTATAACACCGTTAAATTCCAGAACTAAAATAATTTATTCAAGCAGTCGACTAAAAATATCAACAGATGAATTAAATAAATCTAAAAATAAGTGCGGATATAATTTATAAAGATCTAATCTATTATTCGAAATATGATGATCAATTAGAGTACAGAATGAATACGTAACATGATATGAATTGGAATTTGTTATATAGCATATATGTACGTACGTACAGTACATGAGTACAATGTTAGTATTTGGAATAATTAAATGTAGCCTTTTTAAATTGCTATTTAAAGTAATAATTACCCAATTTCTCAGGAGTAAATTTTTTATGTACGTACGTAGTACGTACATTTCGCGGGGTTAGGGTTAGGGTTAGCTATATTGATTAGCGGGAGCTATATTGATTAGGGAGCTATAGTAAATTATCATATGGGCACTTTTTGCTTAATGAACGACAATGATTTCATTAGTATAATTCTTAGTGATCTTGGGCAAAATTTATCAATTCCGACACATCAAACCAGGGCTCTGATTAGGGTTCTGCAAGTAAACATGCCGGGCACAATTGGCACTATGCCAGGCACTGTTGGCACTATGTCGGGCAAAATACTAGTGCCTAAATGCCTACCATAATTTTTGTTATGCCCGAACAGTGCCAGTGCATGTATTATAATATATTTGAGATTAGCTAATTTAGATCGATCTGAGTATTCACGACACTTTACACTTTATCATTTATTTTAAACTATAATCTTATTCTTTTTTTTTCTTTACTAGACTATCTTTATCTAATTATTAACACATCATATTTGTCTATCTATATAACTAAGCCACCTAACGAAAATTTGAAACTTATATTAAAATTTTTTTTTTACTAAATATATATCGATATCATAATTTTATTTTGCTATTTCTAATCAACATAATTTGTTTTTATATATAAAAAGCTATAAAAAAAATAAAAATCGAATGCTATAATATTTCTTAAATTGATAATAATAAAATTGAATTTATTATTGGTCTCTGAATAAGTCTTTCTAATTATTATGTAAAAATTATATAATTGACTTTATTAAGTCATATATTGTCGGTAGCTTTCCTTTGCTACGGC